GGTGGTATGAAATAATACGTGTCACTTCTGTTTATTTAAAATGAATATCGCGAGTCGGATGGTCACCGGAAATTCTACTTTCGGGCTCTTCGGATGGGGAAACCCGCACCAGCGCAGTATCGATTGAAGGTTTATGAAAATGGCCCAGTTTAGTTGTGAAAGTGACGTTAGATCAAGCTCGGATGACGAATCACTCAAATCACAAGCCCTCTTGTTACTCACGATAACTGACTTGCCGTGTCTTCTTCAGTACAGCCAGCTGTTGCATAGCGTATCTCTAACGTGTGCAGAACGGCTGTCATTAATATTTTGTTGGAACGATGGGACATAATCAACTCGTCCATAAATCATGGTCGTCATCGCTGGTCATCGCAGCTAGACTTCGAGTGTTTGACGTGTGAGATGCATGACGAATCAGTTGGCTCTGTCACTCGAAGCCTTCGAGCTCGCACACACTTGACCAATGGCTATGATCATAGAGTGCGAAGCCTGCATGTGTTCGCCATATGTTCTCGATTGAATGCGGAGTCCCGCAGAGGCTACCCTGCTTTCGTTCCATCTCCCCACTGAGGTTCAGGATCACCGCGTCTGCCGTTTCCCGACTACATTTTTAAAGACGATAGTCTTTCTTGGGAGCCCTCTACTACGGCGTCTCTCATAATCATATAGTGGTTTTGGGACGTTAAACCCCACGTATCAATCAGTCTTTCTTGGGGACCATCGACGCAAAAGTTTTGATCTATCTATCTATCTATCTATCTATCTATCTATCTATCTATCTATCTATCTATCTATCTATCTATCTATCTATCTATCTGTCTGTCTGTCTGTCTGTCTGTCTGTCTGTCTGTCTGTCTGTCTGTCTGTCTGTCTGTCTGTCTGTCTGTCTGTCTGTCTGTCTGTCCACTCTTACCGGCATCGGGTACTTGAAACGGCCGACCCTATCCGCAGCGACCACCAATGTTGCTCAAGGTTAAGCGTTCATGCTTGTGCAATTGTCAATTAAAAAGCAAATTATTGCGCATATCTGGGGCACCATAAAAACACGTATAGATTCTGCATATGCATCTCTTACTAAAAAACGCCTACATAATAATTCTAAGGACCGTAGCGCTTATCACGCTGCGCTTACTATGCAACGCTTGCACGGAACGGGGAGTGTTTCCGATTCCAACGCTTTGCTAAGACGAGATGGTGGTGGCACCTACCCGTCGCCTCGCGTTCCACAGCTTATCACCTCTGAGATGGGCACGCACGGCCACGCACTTTGTTTCCCAGAAGAAACTGCCAGATGGCGCTCATGTCTCACGTATGACGTGACTTAATGCTTTCGTTCGCCTCCGCTACACGGTCGAGGCACTCCAACGCAGCGCCTCCGGAATACCATTCACGGATTTTCTTGCGCGGAACATCAACTAAATGTTTTGTTCACTCTCTCCACACGCAAGACTATTGTCTTTCGACGACATTTGCAGATTACATGCAGATGCGGGGCCAATTTTGTTTTCGTGAATATTTGGGAGCTTAGCGATCACGTGTACCCCTTTCTTCTTGCCCCCGCCCCCCTTCCCACATCACTATTTTTAAATGCGAAGCATTTCTTAGCAAGCTTCGGCGACTTAGGGCGTATCTATCCATCTATCTAGCCGCTTACATTTGGGGGCTGTCGTGGTCACCTCTTTAACTTGGCGTGAACCAAAATTAGCATGAGAGGGTAAGATGGTTTACCGAATATGACGCGCCGGTCAAGACATTAATAATGTCACAATCCCGTCGCGTACGATGTCAAAAACTTCCCGCCAGACAGTGGCACATACCCACGGGCAGGTATGGGTCATAGGTGATTCACACTTAGTATCTACCTAGGAACGACGTGAACACACATGGGCAATTTTAAGGCGCGAGCGTTAAGAAATGGCCGATATTGGTAGCGTCAACCCAATGAATTCAAAGAATAAATGTCAGGGTCCCAGCTGGAATCAAACCCAAGCATTCTGTGTGGCAATAAAGCATTTTAGCACAGAGCTACGCCAGGTCTCGGAACTACTTTTTAAATAGGCGCTAATCTTCGTGAAACGTCAACAATAGTAATTGCAGTGCTGCCTATCCAATTTTTTAAACATTACATATACCCTCCTTTGATACAGCCGTCACGTCTGGTTAACGTCAGTTGTGGTTAGTTGCCATGATCGCTTGCTCTGAAGTTGATTTTTGCTGCAGTGTTCACGGCCAGCATCTTCGTGAACATCAGCGCTTCATATCAGCTTCTGGTGTTAATACGCATGTTCCAGCTGGCATCATTGCACAAGTGCAAACAACTGGTTATATAAACACCTGCAACTCTTCAACGTATATATGTGCGTGCAACTTTTGTATATATATATATATATATATATATATATATATATATATATATATATATATATATATATATATATAGCGTCATTTTATGACGTGTTTTTCAATAAAAAAATTGTAACATGGTCCCCTCCCCTTCGCATGCTTCGCATAACGTCAATTCCCAGGTACGTAAGATCTGCCGAATTTTTTTAGTTCCCTGTTTCCAGGCCCTACAAGTACTCGCACACAGTTTTGTTCATGAACCGTCCTGCCTAAAGTTGACCCACGTAAAGGAGTTCATTGCATTATAACCGGCCCCATCCTCTTTCCGGACCGGATGACATTAATGACAAATGAGGAGCAGGAGGGAATCGCACGCTTAGAGGGACCACTTGGAATGCGAGTCAAGTAAGATGAGTCATTTCCGCTTAGCTAAGCCCCAGTTCAATTAACGAGAGCCAAAAGGAACGCCTGAGATCAACGTCTTGTGCTCTCTGCAATGCCTCTCGGGCACCGAAACCCGATCGCAAAAAGCTCACACTTCCGGGCAAGCATAAATAGAGCGAACGAGCAAGCGAATGAACATAACTATGTCTTCTTTTGATAGCTAGGATTTTTCACACGCAGCTGCCTTTTCAGGGCAAGTTATCGACACAATCCACCACGCACTCTCGCACAAAACACGGGACCGTTTCTGTCGTGTACACTCGAGCGACATCTGGTGGGTGGACACGGCGCTAATATGATGCCGTATAGTGGCGTGGATGCTGGACACACTAGGCCATTAAACACTACACGGGCATACAAAGCGCACGACAGCTCGTCCCCAACGACAAGACGATCAAAGGGCGTGGTGTGTGTATTAGCGGTGACGGCATCGCTATTGCTGTATACGCCAGGCACAAGCACCACTCATTGTCAGCTCCGTAGTGTTCTGCACACCTCCGGGTGTCAATATTCACAAAAAGGTAAAAACAAAAAGTAAAACGAGCAGAATAGCAAAGAAAGAAAGTATCACGGCATAGCGTGCGGCGTTTTAATTGGGGCTCAACACGAAATTTGGGCGTGGTTTGGTTCTTTCGTAATCATGGGTCGGGAGCGCCGGCGGCTCAAAAGCGCTTCGATCAGCCGCCACGGGAAGCCGTGACTGCGAGAAAATTTTTCGGGTTTTTTTTTTTTGGAAATTGGTTTTCCTGGCATTTCGTGCTGCTTCTATCGCTCTTTCAATCTTTTTTTCACACGGTACTAAAGTAAGGTCAAAGCACTTCACTCCCGCGGCAATAATTTGCCGACCCTAAAATTACATATTAACGCCCTGCAACAGTTATATACAGCACGTGGAAGCAGAAAAAAAGGTGATACGGCTTGCCGTGTGTTTGGGCTGTGTAGTACAACCTGTGCGTTTGGTGGAATGGCGAGAGGGAAATGAATTGTGTTTACTCGAGCACCGCTTTTGATTACGAGTGAATGAAGGAAACGATCTCTCGCGTCGTTATGGAAAGTTCTTCTTAGAAGGACAACGCCCCCGAGGGCACCGATTCTTAGGCACGACAGCTCAATCAATAAGAAGGCGTGTTTAGATGTGAAGGACAAAACGCCTGAGTGATCAATGCATCTTCCACAAAGTATGTACCTGAGTCAGGCAAAGCAGCACTTAAAAGACGAGTGGGCTGGACTTTATTCCTAAATAATAACGTTTGAAGCATGCCCCACGGTCAGTTATGTCTCCCTCCAACTGGCAAATACCAAAATTAGAGAAATAAAGGTGATATATTGTGCCTTACCCTTGCTTATATTTGTATAGATAGATAGATAGATAGATAGATAGATAGATAGATAGATAGATAGATAGATAGATAGATAGATAGATAGATAGATAGATAGATAGATAGATAGATAGATAGATAGATAGATAGATAGATAGATAGATAGATAGATAGATAGATAGATAGATAGATAGATAGATAGATAGATAGATAGATAGACGCCCCGCCGTAGTGGTCTAGTGGCTAAGGTACTCGGCTGCTAACCCGCAGGGCGCGGGTTCGAATCCCGGCTGCGGCGGCTGCATTTCCGATGGAGGCGGAAATGTTGTAGGCCCGTGTGCTCAGATTTGGGTGCACGTTAAAGAACCCCAGGTGGTCTAAATTTCCGGAGCCCTCCACTACGGCGTCTCTCATAATCATATAGTGGTTTTGGGACGTTAAACCCCATATATCAATCACCTTCAAGCAATTCATGAACGTTGCACAAGAAGCGATTGGATTGCATGAACACTCGTAAGTTGTAGATCATGGTCAGATAAACAGAAGCTTTGTTAGGCCATTTGTTATACCTACACAAAACACATCAACAAATACTCTATAACGGTAGATACATAAAGCCGTGGTGCTTCGAATTTCTCATTAGTCCTGTTAGGGCACTCACTAAAATATATTTGCATTGCATTGCTCCTACTAGGTAAGTGACATGCCACCACCTTTTTCCAGACTGAAACACTTGCTGTTCATGGTTTTAGGATGACAGTTCCTGTGTCGTAGTGACGAGGGAAAACATTCAAAAGCAGGTTGAAGGGACTGTAACCTGAAATGTAGATATTGTGAATCGGAGGTAATGTAGCCTCGAGTGACAACCATCGCGTTTTTTCTTTCCTTGTGCAGCCGGTTCATACCAGACCGAGCGACGGGGCCCAGTGTTCTTGCACGAACCTCCACGACGCGTGGACTTCTCTAACTCGACGGGTGCCACGGTGGCGTGCTCGGCGACGGGCTCGCCCGAACCTCGCATCACCTGGACGTCGGCCGACGGCACGCCAATGGAGGACGTGCGAGGACTAAGATACGCGCGCCCAAACGGTTCTCTGGTGCTTCCCCCATTCCGAGCAGAGGATTACCGACAAGATGTGCACGCTACCGTGTATCGGTGTGCTGCTTCGAACCCCGTTGGTGCCATCGTCAGCAGGGACGTTCACGTCAGGGCAGGTGAGTGACTCCGCCACAGATCGCTGTTTCGTGCGTTTTCGCCTTCAATGTGATCTTACGTGAGACTTGATGAGAATAAATGTTTAAGGCATCAAAGAGCAGAGCAGAGGTAGCTCGTCAAAGGGGTTTCTGGCGTTCTGACAGCAAAAAAAAAAAACACAGCTTGCTTAACTCGCTTGATCAGACACGAAGGTCACATAACACTAGGAATTCGCACCGACTAGCTCAATAACTGAAGCGTACTTTGCTATAAAGAGACATTTTTGTCAGCGCCATCTTTTAAAAGTTTGCAGCTTTTTATGAGCCGTTCAGCCACAGTTATTTCTAAATTGATCAACAAACATTCATCTATGTGCAAGAAGGCAAGCATTAACAGATGCCACTTGATGATTATGAATACTCGCTGTCACAACACTATTGCGTGCCGAAAAGCACCAGCGCTTGGAGGAAAAAGCCTTTCTGTTGTTTTGCCACACCTGCCACAAACCTGATCATGCATATCTCGCACCCTGGTGTTTGTAGGCTACCAGCGGGACACTCTCGCACCCACACGCCATTTTGTTTTCGACTGCCAAGGCGTCTATATTATATTGCATCAAGTCAACATGGTAGGCGGAATATGTGGGACTTCAAAAGACGAACGAGTGCTTTTAACACTACTACCACTTATAAAAAGTCGTCTGGATACCACTGCACCGTCTTTGGATGTGAAAACAACGAAAACAAAAAGAAGATCCTAATTAGCACTGTCTATGAAGATGACAGCTAAGCACGAGAATTGTGCTGGTGCGGTGGGCTTAGCTTGCGAAGATTGAAATCCGCAACGAAAAACGCCTAGCCCCACTCTAGTGGGTATTTGCAATGAAAACCTACAAGCCCCGTAAAAGTGCACGAGTACGTATTCAAGCGTGACTCTGACTATTACAGCAGTAATTTGCCCAACGCACAGATATGTTCCAAGAACTTTATTCACAACAAGCTTTCCTGGCTGAAATCCGTGCCAGTGATACAAGCGAGCATTAATTATATTGTAAGGTAATTTGCGCAACCTTGACTCCCGCAAACACTCACACACTCACTGCACTAGAACTCGAGTATATGTGTGTTACTCGGGTGGATGAGTGAGTGTGTGTGTGTGAGATTGTTTGCGGAAGTCAAGGTTGCGCTAATTATCTTACAATATGACGAGTGACCAACTATCCCAATAACGAGTTTTATTGAGGTACGCGGATTATTGTGCAATACACATTCAAATCCTGAGTTCTTACAAAGTATCGTGCGCAACCTGCACAATGTGACACCAGATCATTGTTCTATTGTTTCGCGGTATGCATTTCAATAATAGCAGCTATCGCGACTCACGCTTGTATGCGAACGCCACGCACGTTCAGTGCATATGCAAGGCTAAACGTACCCGATTAATTGCTGCCTTAGTCTGCACTGAGCATGCTGTAAGAATTATTGGCTCTCGAGTATTCTCAATGATTGGCTGCCGAGTCTTCTCAATGTTTCACAGTGAAACAGGAGAACTTTCCAGGAGAAAGAACGCACTAAACGTGCCAGTGTACGAGTATTCGCTCAATTATAGTACATCGGAAACGCTTCGAACCTCGCTGGGAGTGAAAAACAACAGCTTACGCTCAATAGAATAACGTTGTGGGCAATACACTGCGACTGTTGAAAGCTCGAGAATGCATAGAGATACGCAAACGGGCTTTAAAAGGAACATCATAATTTATGCTTCTCGCTACGTCCAGGACTTAAACTTAATGAACACTAACAGGCAAGAAATTCGAGGAAAGTACAGAGGACACCATTTGTAGTAATCATACTGTAAATGTGAAGTGGAAAAAGAAAGAGATAACATGCTACCTGCAAGTACCAAGACCTGCCGCCTTAGAATTTTAATGCGTCCGATGCTCTACATCTGAGCTAAAGCGGCGGTCATTATGGCGTCCACTTTATAGTGTATATATGTGCATTTGTAGCTATAGGGGTATTCCAGCAGTAACCGCGAAGGCGAGTATGAAACAATTGTTTTGCATGTTACAGCCAAAGCACGCGAATGTAATAAAATCTCGCAGCTGAAAAATAAGACAAATAAGACTACGCCTTAAAAGTCTCTGCCTTTCGCTATCAGAGGGTAATATGTGAGCAAACTGTTTCGAAAGCAAAAAAAAAATAATGAAGGTAAATTTTACATATTTTAAGTCTGTATTATTGCGTGGACATTAAAAAACAAAAAAAAAACAAACGCTCATTGATTGCAATAAATATAGCGTACAATCAGCGCCTATTTAGAAACCATGTAACGGCTTTTTGCTCAAAAGTTACTTTCAAAGATGACTGAAGGAAACAGAGTTATATAAGCGGTATCTTAAGGAAAAGTGAAATACATAACAGTCTTGCTACGATGTATTATTTTATTTATTATTCCACGGCAATCTGCAGTGAAGTGCGCTAGCATATCTTAAAATCACATTGAGGATAACCGCAATTTCCAAGGCTGTGGTTCTTTCAGACAAATACGGCGAATAGGACATAAATGCATCAGTTTATTCATGATAGTCACGATGCACCTTCCATCGCAATTAAAATTTATGGCAATTCAAATTTCAAGTACTAAGTACAGGTAACTCAGAACACAAGATTTGACTCACAACTGGCGCAAACGTTTTTCCGGCTTTTTTTACGCTGGTTTCACACCATATCACGTACGAACTGGCCCTTCAAGTAACCCTATCACTTGAACTGTACACGTGGCTTTTATAAAGCAAATTTTAAACTGTACCAATGGTGCATATGTATGCATATGACTGCGTGATAATGTCTGAACTTCAATGCTAAATTTCAAGTCTCAAAAAATTCACTAGTTTTGAAAACAAAAAATTGAACTAAAAGTGTCCTATACGGTACAGTGTAAACTAACCAAGTTGCATGAATTCTGTGCTACCATGACTCGGGATTCAGTGCACAGACTTCAGCCAGCTCGAAGGCAATTCAGCGGGGACATAGTGAAAAGCGGCGATTTCAATGCACGGGCATTTTTCTGCGTAGAGTGGTTCGCTTTCTACTTTCCGTGCCGCTGTCAGTTTCATGCTTTCTTGTTACGCATCATACCATACTGCACTCCGATCTACACTCTAACTGGCTGCGTTTAGAAGCGTAACGTGGTTAGGCGAAGAAAAAGGATCAAGGTTGACATCAAAGATGCGTCCTTAGCATTCTCAATCCCGCATTTCCGTTTTGCATATACACAGACGGATTTGCAAGGCACGCCAAAGCCGGACATGCTCTCCATTTCATTCTCTGAAAAATGAACAAAGAATAAAACAGCTAGCAAACACGTAGAGTAGCCTAGAAGATTACGCAAGCAACGTGCTCGGCATGCGCGTCGTGCCCCTGAAATACCTGCATTCCGGACATCGTTTGAGCGTTGCCATTTCTTTATGAGGCTTTTTTATTCCACTGTGCGTGTTCTTTTTGCAACTCCTCAAGCGCTATCATTATAACAAATGACTCACCTAATACCCGAGCAGTCTGCACTGCATGATGCCGCCACTACGGCTCGTGTATAGCTCGTGTGTATTCTTTGTCTTGATTTGGCTATGGAATAGTTTAGCATTTTATATCAGACGCCGTAGCATTAGTTGATGCTTCGGAATAGAAAGACCGCCTGTTTGCCCGCACCAGTGATCGTTCCCGGTTGAAATATATTTATACTGCGAGAGCAATTGTATGGACACACTTTCAGCTGATTTTCGCCGCCATCGTTGGTTGTTGGGCTGCCGTCATACCCCATATATATATATATATATATATATATATATATATATATATATATATATATATATATATATATATATATATATATATATATACAACAGCAGCAAAAAATAATTCAAAAAAATACTTTGCGCTACCTCTTGATTCAAAGCGCGTGGCGTGGTGCCACTCGGCGCCCCCATACATGATCTGACTCCACAAGATATACATCCATATATGGTAAATGGAAGCCACATACGCTGACATATATGCTTATATGTGGCCACATATGATGGCATATGCTTATATGTGGCCGCATATAACCTATATAAGTGTCATGTATGACATTTCCGTAAGGGCTCATTCTTCACCACGCGGTGACGCACGTTCATGCGCTCATCTCCCACGCGTACTTTGCCGCGCGTAGAGACGGGGGCAGGGGAAATAGAACCTCGTTAGTGCGCAAACTTATTTCGCGGTGCAGAGAATCGTGCGCCTTGGGCTTCCACATATATGGCTTTGTTATAGTTACTGGGTTCACAAAGGTCAACACGCTCGCTGCAGTCTCCGTTTGCGAAAAGGGCGCGCTTTTCAGACACAGTGAAGTAACAAATGAGACACTTGTTTGCTTTCGTCTGTACCTCTGAGTACGATTTGTCCGTCATTTGAGCGTGAAAAACGCGGTGAACATTTTTATCTCCTTGACATTCTTCGCGTGACATTCAAATTTGTTGCTATCGTAATCATCGCTGCGCATTTGTGGCAAAGCTGCAACTTTTCTATAGTGGAAGTTTTTTTTATTCATCAGACCAACTCATTGAACCACTTGGAGAGGAGAGGGGCATACTCTGTGAACAATAGAATTGTATGGTCTACTGGAAGTAAAATTATGATTGCCATAACAAAAAATGACTTGATTGTGCCCATTTCCTTTATTTTTCTCCGACGCAGTCCGTTGCCATCGAGAACCTGAGGTACAAATTGATCTGCTCGTACTGTGAATGGTAATAGCTCGTGCTTACGGAAAACAACGCTTTTATGGAAATGAAGAGTGTTCGTACACACACGAATATTGGATGCGATTTACATACTGAAGCACAGGCACAAGTGGTAAAAATGTAATAAACGAAAATTCATCCAGAAACTCATTTTATCTGAGGCAACTGCAAACGACGAAGTCATTCCGTGGGGCCTAGAAAAAATACGACGTTCTAGATTTAAGTGCGGGCTAGACA